TTGCGTCCATGCTGCTTTGCCCTGAGGGAGACCTGGATGCACCTGACACCCCCACCCTACGCTCTTACAGAGAGGCGATTTCGGGTGAGTACTCCTCTCAGTGGCAGGCAGCCATGGACGCAGAGATGGCTTCCTCGAAGTCCACAGGCACCTACGTCGACGAGGTTCCCCCACCTGGGGCGAACATCGTCAGTGGCATGTGGATTTTCAAGGTGAAGCGGCCGCCAGGTTGGTAGAATTATGAAGCGTCGAGAGTATGGTCGAGTAAGTGGGAACAATGAAATAAATGTCGACCTAGAGAATGTTGTACCCTCTAGAGGGCAACTCACTGTATCCTAGAATAACTAACATTTTGTAGATATAAACATCTAACAATCCGCCTCGAACCTTGAATGGTGCGAATCATATGGCAAAGGACTCATTCGGGTTCAATGGCCGGCTCGGACACATGACGCGTCATCGACGATGGGCACTGTCGTGGCAGTTCACCCGTGGTTGGTACACTACTTGGCACGTTGAACAGAACACCCAATTCTGGATCATTTGCTCTCAGTCCAGAGATGATGGCGATTGCTGCTTCTGTCTATCCAATGTCTCTTAGCCATGCGAATCACACAAGTCTACAATGAATCAAGGCCCCTGGGCGGGAGGGCACAAGTCAACAACCGCCCCCTCTATGCTGGTGTCTAGGCCGACGCCCTTTGCAGCATGACAGTGAGGGCACGCGCACTGGCCTCCTCGCTCCACTCCAAACTACGCCGCCTCGCCGCCAGCCCCACCTGCGCCAGATGCTGCCTGTCCCGCAGCAGAGCCAGAATGCTCTCAGCAACAACTGGCAGGGCGGCAGAAAGGTCCACCGGCAGTGCCAGCTGCTCTTCGGGTGGCAGGAGCTCGGCTGCTCCCACGGCGCCGCCCGGGCCGACATGAATGACGGAGGGTGCAGAGAAGGCTGCCGCCTCAACGACTGTCATGCCGTATGCGTCGTACAGACAGGGGTGGATGTTGAGCAGCGTCTGGGGGGGGGGGGAGGGAGGTGGAGGAGAGGGAGAGAGAGAGGGAGAGAGGGGAGAGGGGGAGAGGGGGAGGGGGAGAGAGGGAGAGGACGAGGGAGGAAAGGGGCGATGGGGAGAGGGAGAGTGGGGAAGAGGGGGAGAGGGGGAGAAAGGGAGAGGGGAAGAAAGGGAGAGGGGAGAAGGAGAGTGTGGGTGCATGAGAAACAGGACATGGCAGATAGGAATGGGGGCGTGAGGATGGAGCAAAAGGAGGAATGAGGTGAATGCGAACACCAGTGACACAGAATGAGGTGTACTGTGGTGGGATCGTGCAGGAGGTGTGTGCGTGAGAAAAGGGAAGTAGGGCATCGACTGCAGCACCACTGCCAGGCTGTCGTTACATTCAGGGCGATGGACACATGGGCACAGGCGGCAACGCAGGCATGAGCACTCAGGCAGTGACACGGGTACCCATGGCCATTACCTGCGCGTACAGATGCGCCATCCTTTCAGGCCCCATGAACCCCTCCAGCACCACGGCACCCGGTGCAGCCGCCACCACCTCGCGCAGCACGGCCTCCCCGAAGGCACCGCGTGTGGCGGCAGTGCCGGCGCACAGCAGGGGCGTCACGCCCAGAGCTGCCAGGTGCGGCGCCAGCAGGCGCAGCAGGGGGGGCAGCAAGGCGGCGTTCTTCTCGGGGGACAGGCGCACACAGCATACCAGGTACAGTCGCTCCGATGGCCATGAGGCCGCGCTCACTGCGGTTGGGAGGAGGGATTGAGGGAGCAGGTGGAGTGAGAAGTGGCTCGGAAGCTGGGAAATCCGTCAGGGTCCGCCGCAGAAGAGATGGACGCAGCTGGGGGGTTGGACACAAGCTGGGGCGTCAACAGACGGAGGTAGGAACGGGGATAAGAGACGTGGGAAGGGCTGGAAGGGAAGAGTAGCTTTGGTGGACGGTAGTACATGTTGATGTTGGCGTGCTGTCCGGTCCACTGACATGAACAGCGCCCAGTTGACCTGCTCTGCTCTGGACCGCTTGCCTTCCCTACTGGACCGCTTGCCTTCCCACTTACTCTCCTTGGTTGCTGCGACAACAAAAGGAACACCAAGTCCCTGACAACGAGCAATGGATCTATTGCTCCTTGTCAAGCCCACACACACTTCCACTGTGACTCACTCTCTCGCCCCGCTGCCAGCACGCGGATGTCTTCTCGGAGGGGCGGCAGCAGCGCGTGTGGCTCCACCCGTGCCTTGCGCCGCGCGCCCAGGCTCTCTGCCAGGTACCATGCGTCCCTGGGAGCATGGGCGGAGGGAGGATATGGGAGCTGGATGAAGGCCAAGTGGGGATGGGCCAGACTGAGCTTCAGATATTGGGAAAAATGGGCTTCACTTCCCTACCATTTAAAGTGATCAGATTATCAAAGCAATCCATCTTGCGCTGCAAGCAACCCATCTCGCTGTGCTATCACAACCGCTCACCTCACAACCGCTCATCGCACAACCGCTCATCTCACAACAACCGCTCATCTCACAACAACCGCTCATCTCCCAAGTGCTCATCTCAAAAGCGCCCATGGCATCTCACCGTGTGCTGAGGGCCGTGACGACATCCGCCATGGCAACTGCTCCGCTCTCCTTCTCCCGGTAAAACGCCCTCTCCCTGCCCGCCTCCGTCTCCACCTCCGCCCCCCTCTCACCCTTCTCCCCAGCACTGCTGGCTGCAGCAGGGCCAGACGTGGTGGTGGCGGCAGACGGCTGGTAGTGTGAGAGCGAGTACACGCGGAAGTTGAGATACGCCATGCGTGGCCGCCTGGGTGCTTGCTGAGCCCGCTGCTCTGCTGCCTGTCCTCCTGACCTCCCACTCTCACCACCGCCATCCACCACACTGCTACCCGCAATGCAACCCTCATCACCACCCTCACCGCCATGCGCAGCAACAGTCTCAGCCCACACGGGTGCAGCAGCAAGGGCCGTGAAGGCGGGCACGGCGGACCAGTCCACCACCAGCGCCCACTGCGGGGCGAACTGCGCCACTCTGCGCGCCACCTCCGTCCCCCCTGACCCCTCTTCGCCCGCCAGCCGGTGCGCCCAATGGTGCCAGCAGCAGCGCCAGTCCAGGCGCCCCCACGCGCCCACCGGCACCTCCACCACGCACTGCTCCACCTGCCCCACCTCCCCCACCTCCACCACTCCGCGCCGCTCCGCCTCCACGGACTTCTCCTCCTCGTCTGCCCCGTTCCTCTGACCCCCCACGCTGCTGCCTCCGCGCTCACAGGGTGCGCCCGTCGCTGCTGCATTCTGGTTGCCACCTGCCTGCTGAGCCACGCCGCAAGGCTGGCCTGCCGAGTGGAGAGAGCCTGTAGGGCGCTGCTGGCGCAGCCTTATGACGATGGGCGCGGAGGGCTCAGGAGGAGAGGCGGATGGATTGGGCGGAGGGAGTGGGGTGGTGCGAGGAGGGGGAGCTGCACTGCAGGGGAAGGGGGAGGGAGGGGAGGTGCGGCAGGGGGAGAGGGGAGCATTGTTGGGGCAGAAGGGGAAAGGCTCATCAAAGAAGGGAAGAGCAGGTGGCAGGCCAGCGAAGGCAGCACGACTGGCACGAGATCAGAACCTGCTTGGCAAAACTAGGGCCAGGCGCGCGTCCCGCCACCACATCGCCATCTGCTCGTCACACCGCCTCTCCTCAGTTCACCCACTCTCGCACTTTCTCTCCTCGCCTCCCCGCATCCCTCTCCCCGGCCCCCCCTACCCCCGCACCTGACGACCATCACGGAGTGGCCGTGAGCGACGAGCGAGCGCACGAGCGACTGCGAGTAGACGCCGTTGCCGCTGAACGTGCCCGCGCGGTACTCCAGCGATACCAGCACAACCCGCAACCCCTCCTTCGCTCCGCCATTTCCGCTCGCCGCCGCCCTGCTGTCCGCCTCTGCGGCGGCCTCCGGCGCAAAATGCGCGCCGGGTAAGTTCCTGCCCTGTGCGCCTTCGTCTGCTGCCGCCGGCATGTCCCCCGCTACCGCGCGGAGGTTCCGCGCGCGTACGAGTTCGGACCAGTTATTCTGGCGGCGGAAAGCGACTAGGAGAAACAGTAGGAGGAACGTCGCCGATCGCAGGAGAATGCAGCAGGCGCGGACGGGAGGGCGGAAATGAGCGACGAGACGTGCGCTCTGAACGACGTACAGAGATCGTGGGTGACTGAGATGACAAGAGTCTGGGTGGTGAACGGGAGGCCGAGCGGGAATGGCGGGGAGCAGATGTCATAGAAGGCACTCCGCCACCAGCACACCGATCACGAAAATGCACAAATGGCAGAAGTACGTATTATTATTATTAGGCATTTTAGAGGTGTCATTTTTTAAGAACATTTATTATCTCTGAGTTTTCCTTCATATTATGTTAACAGAGGTGGGATTTGTATACTGGTTCAGTATTTATATATAGTTTCTTTGTTTGTATGTGCTTTTCTCTTAAGGCTTTTCCAATTTGAATAGTTATCATGATTTACATTCTATAATGCGTGATCCATAAACAGTTCCGATACGATTATAGCATGGTACTTTTTCGAGTCCGTCTGTGAAACTGTCCGTCTCTGTATCGCGGATGGATTACGACGAAATCAAGGAATGAGCTCCTTTCGTCTTGACGCCAATCGCTGTCGGTCAGTCACACCCCCCTCTCTCCCTCCTCCCTGGTCCCACGCTTTCGGCTTCACGCCACGCCACGCCTTCCTTCCACAAGCAGTTGCTCATCTTTCTCCTTCAACCCCTGCGGTATTGGAAATCATCGTAGCACTTTCACGAGCATCAGATTTCAGCATGGCTAGCGCACCCGCAAGCTGATCTGATTCGTGGAGGGCCCTCTGCAGATTCGCCGTGTTCCTTCTCAGTCAGTTTCTTGCTTCCATACCGAATTCTAAGTCGCCTCTCGATTCAGCAAGGGCTCTATTCTTGAGGCGCCTAAAATTAGGCGTCTCTTTCCAGAAACGACGGCTTTTTTAGGGAGTGAGTCTCGCGATGGGGAGCGACGGCGATGGCGACGGCGAGGCGGGGATGCGGATGCAGCTCGTGTCGGGGACGGGCGAGTTCGATCGCGAGGGGCTCGAGCGATTCGCGCGTGCGACGCGGATGACGGAGTGCGGCTTGTCGTACGCCGTCATCGCCATCGTCGGACCGCAGAGCAGCGGTACGCGCCTTGCCTCAGCAGCGGTACGCGCCTTGCCTCAGCAGCGGTACGCGCCTTGCCTCAGCAGCGGTACGCGCCTTGCCTCAGCAGCGATACACGCCTTGCTTGTCCCAAGCCTCCCCTGCCGCTCGCCCCCTGCTTCTTGCTTCACGCCTAAAGCTCTCGCTAGCTCCTTGAACTCGTGGACCCAGTGAATTCCGCAGCCATGTCATGGGCTTCTGTTGGTGCCTCAGCGCCCATCGTCACTCCTTGAAACCGCATCTCACCGCAGTTCCCCTGGTCTTGCGGATGGCGCGGCGCATCTGCATGCTGCCCTGCACCGTACAGTGCTGTTGAGAATCCTCACACGAATTCTGAAATGAGAAAGAAAGTGAAAAGTTTGAAGGCATGCAGTGCAGTGCGCTGACGTGGTATTGTGAAGCGCGGATGGGCTCTGCCCTCTTGCTGCTGCTTACCGTCTAGCCCCTCATTCCCTATAGCGCCACTCGTCGTGTGCTGGCATGGCATATCACACGCACACGATAGGCCCCTCTGGACTTGAGCCAAACTCTTGTCTACCGCCATTCATTTTGTTGTGTTACTTTTCTGTTACCACCCTGTCTGTCAACCAACCCCATGTCACGGGCATGTCACTCACCCACCCGCGTGTCACCGCACCCCGTGTGTGGGGTGGGCAGGCAAGAGCACGCTGCTGAATCACCTCTTCCACACGACCTTCGATGAGATGGACGCTCTCAAGGGCAGGCGGCAGACCACGCAGGGCATCTGGGTGGCGGAGGCGCGCGGCATTCGGCCCTTCACCCTCGTGCTGGACATCGAGGGCACTGACAGCCGCGAGCGCGGCGAGGTGCGTGGCAGGGGGGGGACAGACGAGGGCGAGGTGGGGGGAGGGGGAGGAAAGAGCAGGGGCGAGGTGGGGGAGGGATGGGGAAGAGGGCAGTGGCGAGGGTGAGGGGGGCAGGGTGAGGGGCAAGGTGAGTGTGCGGTTGAAGCACGGGGATTTGTGAGCGGATTCACAACGTATTCAGCCGTTCACCTTCGTGCTTGACATCAGAGGCACTGACTGACAGCTGTGACAGGGGCGAGCGACGTGGGCAGCGTGTGGGGGATCGGCAAGTCCTGATTGCCCAAATCGTGCCCCCCTTCCCTCCGCTCCATCCCTCATCTTATCTGCTCCCTGCCCTCGAGGCATGAGCAAAAGGGCCAACACCTGTTCGGTTCGCCTCGAACATGTTCGTGGCGAACCAAACACTTATATATTTTCGGCCCTAAGTGTTCGGGGCGAACATGTTCGTGTTCGCCCAAACGTGTTCGTGCTCGGTTCGCCGTGGCTAGCCAAGCCGTGCCGAACACTAACATGTTCGTGTTCGCAGGTTCAGGGCGTTTGAGGGAAGAAACCAGCGATACAACCTAACTTCACACACCATAGCACCTCCCCTTGCTGAAACCGACGCCCATTCCATTATTAGAAGCCCATTTCGCCCATCCCACGGCTGTTGAAAAGTCGAGCAGGAACATGTTGGTGCTCGGGACGAACATAGGGGTGTTGGCCCCTAGAGGCGAACAGACCAACACCATTTTCTCATAAAGTGTCCGCGGTGAACCGAACACTGTTCGGTTCGCCCAGGTGACATGTTCGCCCTGGGTGAACACAAACATGTTCGTGTTTGCCTCGTGCTCAAGCCTACCCTCGCCTTCCTCCCTCTGCCCACCCCCCATCAACTTTCTTTTCATTTTCACCTCCCCCTCGTTCCCCCTCCCCACTCTTTGCCTACGGGCAGGACAACAGTTCACACCCCCTGCCTGACCCGTTTCCCTCTGCTTCCTCCCCCCCCTCCGCGCCCACCTCCCCCTCCCCTTACTGCACCTGTGGCAGGACGACACCACGTTTGAAAAGCAGAGCTCGCTCTTTGCCCTCGCTGTCGCTGACGTCATCATCGTTAACATGTATGTATGGCCCTGCGGCCGTGGGCGTGGCGACACACGCTTGGTGTTGATGGTTTCATTCACTGACGTGGCATGACATGCCATGGCATGCCATGCATGGTCACATGTGCTCAGTACCTGATGCTGATGTCCCTGTGGCCTACTATTTTCCCTTTGTTTCTTCCACTTATGCCGCACATCATGGTATTGCAGGCGCATGTGCATCCATCCGTCGCCTCGCCGCGCATACCCTCGTCGATCACCACTTGTTTTGCACTTCAAACTGCAACTGCAACTGCAACTGCCTCACCTTATTGCCCTGCATCACCATCCATTACGTTGCCCTGTGCGGCACTGTCCTGTCGTGTCATGCCAGGTGGTGCCACGACATTGGTCGAGAGCAAGCCTCCAACAAGCCATTGCTGAAAACGGTCTTTCAGGTGCGCCCTGCGTGTGTGCTGTGCTGTGCTGTGCTGTATGCACATCTTATACTTTCTGCGGCAAGCCTCCCTGCTTCTAACTTTCAGCTGCGTGTGGACTGTGTCCCATTCAAACTTTGAGACGTCTCGTGTGTCATCTCATACTGAGCAACAACCCTCCCACTGCTCCTCCCCCGTCCCTTCTTGTGGTGAGGTAGGTGATGATGCGCCTCTTCTCGCCGCGCAAGGCCACGCTGCTCTTCGTCATCCGCGACAAGACCAAGGTGCCTCGCGCGCTGCACTGCTGCACCCACCCACTCTTCCCGCTCACTGCTGCAAGCCATGCTAGTATCACCTGCTTCATCCCATTCCACCTCTGTGTGCTGCGTGCCTCTCTGCCCCCTCTCATCCCACATCCCACCCACCTCTGTGTGTGCTGCCTGTGTGCGTGCGCGCCATGGCGTGGCAGACTCCAATGGAGACACTCGAGCCCATTTTGAGGGAGGACATTCAAAAGGTGCGCCGCCCATGGCTTGGCTTGGGCCTTGTCAAGAAAAGGGCTTGCTGGAAACGTTGATGCTTTTCTCCATCCACCCAATTGGATTAGGTGCATATTATTGGATAGTATCCGATCAAATCGTTTACAGCGTTGGTTCATTGCAGGCTGGCCGTTGTGTTGTGTCCAGCCGCATGACTTGTCTGCCTGCATCATGTGTCTCTCATGACTTGTCTGCCTGCATCATGTGTCTCTCGTTTCTTCCTCCTGCCTTCTCGCCTCTGCGTCTCTGCTACTCACTTGTCTGTTGGCTGCAGATATGGCAGAGCGTACCTAAGCCGCAGAAGCATCAGGACACACCCTTTGCTGACTTCTTCAACGTATGCTCTTAACAGCTGCTTCCTTGCGGCGTTGATTGATTCTGCATGCTGTTGTCAACAAGTTTAGAATCACCCCGCACAATCATTGAGCACACCCTTTGTTGACTTCTCATATGTATGTGACTTTCAGCTGCTTGCAACGTTCCTTGATGTCACAGTCTGTGTGTTGAGAACTCTCAACAACAGTCTGCAAAATTCTCTAACACACGCTGCGTATCTAACTTTCAGCTGATTCCTTCGTTTCATTCGTCCCCCCCGGCCTCCCCTTCCCTTGTTGCTTTCTTCCATCTGCCCCTCTTTCCTCCCTTCCCTCGTCTCGTTCGTTCTCCCCTTCCATCTCTCCTGCCCGTGGCTCATATCCTCGATGTAGCTACCTAGCCCCCATCCACATCCGGCCTCCTCGTGTGTGTGTGCGCGCATGTGCATGTGTGTCCTTATGCATATGCATTTGCATGCGATTGTGCATGGGCATGGGCATGGGATGTGCATGGCATGTGCATGTGCATGTGCATGGGCATGGGCATGGGCATGGCCATGGGATGGGCATGGCATGGCATGTGCATGTGCATGTGCATGTGCATGGGCATGTGCATGTGCATGGGCATGGGCATGTGCATGTGCATGGGCATGGGCATGGCCATGGGATGGGCATGGCATGTGCATGTGCATGTGCATGTGCATGGGCATGGGCATGGGCATGGGCATGGCCATGGGATGGGCATGGCATGTGCTTGTGCATGTGCATGTGCATGCATACGTGTGTGTAACAGGTGGAGGTCACAGCTCTCCCCAACTTTGAGGAGAGAGAGGAGGACTTCAAGAGCCAGGTGCGCACCCTGTGCCCTTCCCTTGCAAACGTACACTCTTCTCCTCTCCCCACCCTCGAAATCTCCTGTCGCCCTTCCAGTCAAGCTAGTCCTGCTTGGCTGCCTAATCGGACGTCGCGACCCCGCTCCGCCCCGACCCGATCCCGCTCTCCGCCCCAGTTTCAGGACTCGATGATGGGGGGGCGGATGGCGGGGAACTTGCAGGAGACTCGTGGGGCTCAACCCCCTTTCGCGGGGCTCGTGGGGCTCAACCATTGATGCCCGCATGCCGGGGCTCAACCCCCTACTTCCCTCATTGATTTCGCCCACTTTCCAATATCCCCAACTTTTTCCTTTTTTTTTTCTCCTTAGGTGGCACAGCCTAGGGAGCGGTTTCAGGAATCGGTGGCGGAGGGGCGGGTGGAGGGGGAGTGGTGGGGCTCAAGTCTCTAAAGACCCTGTTTAACCCGCAATCTCCCACCGCCTCCAACCCAACTCCCCCACCCCTAACCTACCCCCCTGTGCAGGTAGCACGGCTGAGGGAGCGGTTTCAAGACTCGGTGGCGGAGGGGCGGCTGGCGGGGGACCGGCGGGGGGTGGTGCCGGCATCGGGGTTCCCCTTGAGCGTGGCGGAGATGTGGCGCGTGATCCGCGAGAACAAGGACCTCGACCTGCCCGCTCACAAGGTGTGCTGCGCGGCTCTGTCTGTGCTTGTGTGCGAGTATGTGAGATTGTGTGGGAGGATATGTTTCCATGTGGACGATTGGTAAGAGGGAAGGAGGGAGGCGAAGATATGTGGAGGGACAAGGACCTTGTCTTGCTCGCCCACAAGGTGTGTGTGCTGTGCTCGCCCACAAGGTGTGTGTGCTGTGCTCGCCCACAAGGTGTGTGTGCTGTGCTCGCCCACAAGGTGTGTGTGCTGTGCTCGCCCACAAGGTGTGTGTGCTGTGCTCGCCCACAAGGTGTGTGTGCTGTGCTCGCCCACAAGGTGTGTGTGCTGTGCTCGCCCACAAGGTGTGTGTGCTGTGCTCGCCCACAAGGTGCGTGTGCTGTGCTGCGGGGCTCTATCTATTCATGCTTGTGTGAGGATGCTATTTCTTGGGGTTTTGTCCCATGTGTGTGTGTGGATGAAGGAGTGTGACCGAGTGGGGCCTTTCGATTTCCTCCTTCCATGCGAGTGTCCTTGCACCACTCTCGTTGCACCATTCACTCTGGTTTTCCCCCTACCACCACCCCACCCCAACAAGAGAGGGTGACGCTAGTGCCCCGTGACCAGATCGCCACAGAGGCGATGGTTGCTTATCCCCCTGTCCTTCCCCTTCCCCCTCCCCACCTTGTCTCTCTCCCCACCGTCTCTCCCCACCCCTCCTTCCCACTCCACCCCACTCCACCCCACCAGGTGATGGTGGCGACGGTGCGCTGTGAGCAGATCGCCGCGGAGAAGCTCGCCCAGCTGCAGGAGAGCGAGGTGAGCCCAGCTGCAGGAGAGCGAGGTGAGCCCAGCTGCAGGAGAGCGAGGTGAGCCCAGCTGCAGGAGAGCGAGGTGAGCCCAGCTGCAGGAGAGCGAGGTGAGGTGCGGTGCAGCGATGCACAGGTGATGTGATGCGCAGGTGATGTGATGCACAGGTGATGTGATGCGCATTTGCCTGGCGTCGTTTCTTCCACTCGCCTTTCCTGACTGGTATTCGTCATGTCCATTATTGAAACCACCCTTGCATGTCTTCTGTGTACCTACCACTGCCTATTATATCAGAAATCGGTGCCCCTTCCATTCCAACCCCCATCTCTGTGCTGTCTCCTCACCTCACCTCTCGTCTCTCCAACCCCCCCCGCCCTCTCTCGCGGGCATCAGGAGTGGGTGGAGCTACACGCAGCAGTGGAGGCGGGCAACGAGGCGGACCACTTCGGTGGGCGGGCCAACGAGCTCGCAGCTAGTGCTCTCGCCACGTGAGTCACATGGCTTGCCTTGGTATGGCATAGCATGGCTTAATATGGTATGGCATGACATTGCTGTACGGCATAACAGTGGGGGTCTTCGCATAAATACTGCTTCATGAGGGGGGCATGCACGACAAGCCATGGCACGGCATTCTTTCGGTTGGAATTGACGTTCTTGTTTTCTCTCTTTCCGCACCGTCTTTCCCTCAGCTTGTCTACTATCCCTTCCTCACCTTGTCTACTATCCCTTCCTCAGCTTGTCTACTATCCCTTCCTCAGCTTGTCTACTATCCCTTCCTCAGCTTGTCTACTATCCCTTCCTCAGCTTGTCTACTATCCCTTCCTCAGCTTGTCTACTATCCCTTCCTCAGCTTGTCTACTATCCCTTCCTCAGCTTGTCTACTATCCCTTCCTCAGCTTGTCTACTATCCCTTCCTCAGCTTGTCTACTATCCCTTCCTCAGCTTGTCTACTATCCCTTCCTCAGCTTGTCTACTATCCCTTCCTCAGCTTGTCTACTATCCCTTCCTCAGCTTGTCTACTATCCCTTCCTCAGCTTGTCTACTATCCCTTCCTCAGCTTGTCTACTATCCCTTCCTCAGCTTGTCTACTATCCCTTCCTCAGCTTGTCTACTATCCCTTCCTCAGATTGTCTACTATCCCTTCCTCAGCTTGTCTACTATCCCTTCCTCAGCTTGTCTACTATCCCTTCCTCAGCTTGTCTACTATCCCTTCCTCAGCTTGTCTACTATCCCTTCCTCAGCTTGTCTACTATCCCTTCCTCAGCTTGTCTACTATCCCTTCCTCAGCTTGTCTACTATCCCTTCCTCAGCTTGTCTACTATCCCTTCCTCAGCTTGTCTACTATCCCTTCCTCAGCTTGTCTACTATCCCTTCCTCAGCTTGTCTACTATCCCTTCCTCAGCTTGTCTACTATCCCTTCCTCAGCTTGTCTACTATCCCTTCCTCAGCTTGTCTACTATCCCTTCCTCAGCTTGTCTACTATCCCTTCCTCAGCTTGTCTACTATCCCTTCCTCAGCTTGTCTACTATCCCTTCCTCAGCTTGTCTACTATCCCTTCCTCAGCTTGTCTACTATCCCTTCCTCAGCTTGTCTACTATCCCTTCCTCAGCTTGTCTACTATCCCTTCCTCAGCTTGTCTACTATCCCTTCCTCAGCTTGTCTACTATCCCTTCCTCAGCTTGTCTACTATCCCTTCCTCAGCTTGTCTACTATCCCTTCCTCAGCTTGTCTACTATCCCTTCCTCAGCTTGTCTACTATCCCTTCCTCAGCTTGTCTACTATCCCTTCCTCAGCTTGTCTACTATCCCTTCCTCAGCTTGTCTACTATCCCTTCCTCAGCTTGTCTACTATCCCTTCCTCAGCTTGTCTACTATCCCTTCCTCAGCTTGTCTACTATCCCTTCCTCAGCTTGTCTACTATCCCTTCCTCAGCTTGTCTACTATCCCTTCCTCAGCTTGTCTACTATCCCTTCCTCAGCTTGTCTACTATCCCTTCCTCAGCTTGTCTACTATCCCTTCCTCAGCTTGTCTACTATCCCTTCCTCAGCTTGTCTACTATCCCTTCCTCAGCTTGTCTACTATCCCTTCCTCAGCTTGTCTACTATCCCTTCCTCAGCTTGTCTACTATCCCTTCCTCAGCTTGTCTACTATCCCTTCCTCAGCTTGTCTACTATCCCTTCCTCAGCTTGTCTACTATCCCTTCCTCAGCTTGTCTACTATCCCTTCCTCAGCTTGTCTACTATCCCTTCCTCAGCTTGTCTACTATCCCTTCCTCAGCTTGTCTACTATCCCTTCCTCAGCTTGTCTACTATCCCTTCCTCAGCTTGTCTACTATCCCTTCCTCAGCTTGTCTACTATCCCTTCCTCAGCTTGTCTACTATCCCTTCCTCAGCTTGTCTACTATCCCTTCCTCAGCTTGTCTACTATCCCTTCCTCAGCTTGTCTACTATCCCTTCCTCAGCTTGTCTACTATCCCTTCCTCAGCTTGTCTACTATCCCTTCCTCAGCTTGTCTACTATCCCTTCCTCAGCTTGTCTACTATCCCTTCCTCAGCTTGTCTACTATCCCTTCCTCAGCTTGTCTACTATCCCTTCCTCAGCTTGTCTACTATCCCTTCCTCAGCTTGTCTACTATCCCTTCCTCAGCTTGTCTACTATCCCTTCCTCAGCTTGTCTACTATCCCTTCCTCAGCTTGTCTACTATCCCTTCCTCAGCTTGTCTACTATCCCTTCCTCAGCTTGTCTACTATCCCTTCCTCAGCTTGTCTACTATCCCTTCCTCAGCTTGTCTACTATCCCTTCCTCAGCTTGTCTACTATCCCTTCCTCAGCTTGTCTACTATCCCTTCCTCAGCTTGTCTACTATCCCTTCCTCAGCTTGTCTACTATCCCTTCCTCAGCTTGTCTACTATCCCTTCCTCAGCTTGTCTACTATCCCTTCCTCAGCTTGTCTACTATCCCTTCCTCAGCTTGTCTACTATCCCTTCCTCAGCTTGTCTACTATCCCTTCCTCAGCTTGTCTACTATCCCTTCCTCAGCTTGTCTACTATCCCTTCCTCAGCTTGTCTACTATCCCTTCCTCAGCTTGTCTACTATCCCTTCCTCAGCTTGTCTACTATCCCTTCCTCAGCTTGTCTACTATCCCTTCCTCAGCTTGTCTACTATCCCTTCCTCAGCTTGTCTACTATCCCTTCCTCAGCTTGTCTACTATCCCTTCCTCAGCTTGTCTACTATCCCTTCCTCAGCTTGTCTACTATCCCTTCCTCAGCTTGTCTACTATCCCTTCCTCAGCTTGTCTACTATCCCTTCCTCAGCTTGTCTACTATCCCTTCCTCAGCTTGTCTACTATCCCTTCCTCAGCTTGTCTACTATCCCTTCCTCAGCTTGTCTACTATCCCTTCCTCAGCTTGTCTACTATCCCTTCCTCAGCTTGTCTACTATCCCTTCCTCAGCTTGTCTACTATCCCTTCCTCAGCTTGTCTACTATCCCTTCCTCAGCTTGTCTACTATCCCTTCCTCAGCTTGTCTACTATCCCTTCCTCAGCTTGTCTACTATCCCTTCCTCAGCTTGTCTACTATCCCTTCCTCAGCTTGTCTACTATCCCTTCCTCAGCTTGTCTACTATCCCTTCCTCAGCTTGTCTACTATCCCTTCCTCAGCTTGTCTACTATCCCTTCCTCAGCTTGTCTACTATCCCTTCCTCAGCTTGTCTACTATCCCTTCCTCAGCTTGTCTACTATCCCTTCCTCAGCTTGTCTACTATCCCTTCCTCAGCTTGTCTACTATCCCTTCCTCAGCTTGTCTACTATCCCTTCCTCAGCTTGTCTACTATCCCTTCCTCAGCTTGTCTACTATCCCTTCCTCAGCTTGTCTACTATCCCTTCCTCAGCTTGTCTACTATCCCTTCCTCAGCTTGTCTACTATCCCTTCCTCAGCTTGTCTACTATCCCTTCCTCAGCTTGTCTACTATCCCTTCCTCAGCTTGTCTACTATCCCTTCCTCAGCTTGTCTACTATCCCTTCCTCAGCTTGTCTACTATCCCTTCCTCAGCTTGTCTACTATCCCTTCCTCAGCTTGTCTACTATCCCTTCCTCAGCTTGTCTACTATCCCTTCCTCAGCTTGTCTACTATCCCTTCCTCAGCTTGTCTACTATCCCTTCCTCAGCTTGTCTACTATCCCTTCCTCAGCTTGTCTACTATCCCTTCCTCAGCTTGTCTACTATCCCTTCCTCAGCTTGTCTACTATCCCTTCCTCAGCTTGTCTACTATCCCTTCCTCAGCTTGTCTACTATCCCTTCCTCAGCTTGTCTACTATCCCTTCCTCAGCTTGTCTACTATCCCTTCCTCAGCTTGTCTACTATCCCTTCCTCAGCTTGTCTACTATCCCTTCCTCAGCTTGTCTACTATCCCTTCCTCAGCTTGTCTACTATCCCTTCCTCAGCTTGTCTACTATCCCTTCCTCAGCTTGTCTACTATCCCTTCCTCAGCTTGTCTACTATCCCTTCCTCAGCTTGTCTACTATCCCTTCCTCAGCTTGTCTACTATCCCTTCCTCAGCTTGTCTACTATCCCTTCCTCAGCTTGTCTACTATCCCTTCCTCAGCTTGTCTACTATCCCTTCCTCAGCTTGTCTACTATCCCTTCCTCAGCTTGTCTACTATCCCTTCCTCAGCTTGTCTACTATCCCTTCCTCAGCTTGTCTACTATCCCTTCCTCAGCTTGTCTACTATCCCTTCCTCAGCTTGTCTACTATCCCTTCCTCAGCTTGTCTACTATCCCTTCCTCAGCTTGTCTACTATCCCTTCCTCAGCTTGTCTACTATCCCTTCCTCAGCTTGTCTACTATCCCTTCCTCAGCTTGTCTACTATCCCTTCCTCAGCTTGTCTACTATCCCTTCCTCAGCTTGTCTACTATCCCTTCCTCAGCTTGTCTACTATCCCTTCCTCAGCTTGTCTACTATCCCTTCCTCAGCTTGTCTACTATCCCTTCCTCAGCTTGTCTACTATCCCTTCCTCAGCTTGTCTACTATCCCTTCCTCAGCTTGTCTACTATCCCTTCCTCAGCTTGTCTACTATCCCTTCCTCAGCTTGTCTACTATCCCTTCCTCAGCTTGTCTACTATCCCTTCCTCAGCTTGTCTACTATCCCTTCCTCAGCTTGTCTACTATCCCTTCCTCAGCTTGTCTACTATCCCTTCCTCAGCTTGTCTACTATCCCTTCCTCAGCTTGTCTACTATCCCTTCCTCAGCTTGTCTACTATCCCTTCCTCAGCTTGTCTACTATCCCTTCCTCAGCTTGTCTACTATCCCTTCCTCAGCTTGTCTACTATCCCTTCCTCAGCTTGTCTACTATCCCTTCCTCAGCTTGTCTACTATCCCTTCCTCAGCTTGTCTACTATCCCTTCCTCAGCTTGTCTACTATCCCTTCCTCAGCTTGTCTACTATCCCTTCCTCAGCTTGTCTACTATCCCTTCCTCAGCTTGTCTACTATCCCTTCCTCAGCTTGTCTACTATCCCTTCCTCAGCTTGTCTACTATCCCTTCCTCAGCTTGTCTACTATCCCTTCCTCAGCTTGTCTACTATCCCTTCCTCAGCTTGTCTACTATCCCTTCCTCAGCTTGTCTACTATCCCTTCCTCAGCTTGTCTACTATCCCTTCCTCAGCTTGTCTACTATCCCTTCCTCAGCTTGTCTACTATCCCTTCCTCAGCTTGTCTACTATCCCTTCCTCAGCTTGTCTACTATCCCTTCCTCAGCTTGTCTACTATCCCTTCCTCAGCTTGTCTACTATCCCTTCCTCAGCTTGTCTACTATCCCTTCCTCAGCTTGTCTACTATCCCTTCCTCAGCTTGTCTACTATCCCTTCCTCAGCTTGTCTACTATCCCTTCCTCAGCTTGTCTACTATCCCTTCCTCAGCTTGTCTACTATCCCTTCCTCAGCTTGTCTACTATCCCTTCCTCAGCTTGTCTACTATCCCTTCCTCAGCTTGTCTACTATCCCTTCCTCAGCTTGTCTACTATCCCTTCCTCAGCTTGTCTACTATCCCTTCCTCAGCTTGTCTACTATCCCTTCCTCAGCTTGTCTACTATCCCTTCCTCAGCTTGTCTACTATCCCTTCCTCAGCTTGTCTACTATCCCTTCCTCAGCTTGTCTACTATCCCTTCCTCAGCTTGTCTACTATCCCTTCCTCAGCTTGTCTACTATCCCTTCCTCAGCTTGTCTACTATCCCTTCCTCAGCTTGTCTACTATCCCTTCCTCAGCTTGTCTACTATCCCTTCCTCAGCTTGTCTACTATCCCTTCCTCAGCTTGTCTACTATCCCTTCCTCAGCTTGTCTACTATCCCTTCCTCAGCTTGTCTACTATCCCTTCCTCAGCTTGTCTACTATCCCTTCCTCAGCTTGTCTACTATCCCTTCCTCAGCTTGTCTACTATCCCTTCCTCAGCTTGTCTACTATCCCTTCCTCAGCTTGTCTACTATCCCTTCCTCAGCTTGTCTACTATCCCTTCCTCAGCTTGTCTACTATCCCTTCCTCAGCTTGTCTACTATCCCTTCCTCAGCTTGTCTACTATCCCTTCCTCAGCTTGTCTACTATCCCTTCCTCAGCTTGTCTACTATCCCTTCCTCAGCTTGTCTACTATCCCTTCCTCAGCTTGTCTACTATCCCTTCCTCAGCTTGTCTACTATCCCTTCCTCAGCTTGTCTACTATCCCTTCCTCAGCTTGTCTACTATCCCTTCCTCAGCTTGTCTACTATCCCTTCCTCAGCTTGTCTACTATCCCTTCCTCAGCTTGTCTACTATCCCTTCCTCAGCTTGTCTACTATCCCTTCCTCAGCTTGTCTACTATCCCTTCCTCAGCTTGTCTACTATCCCTTCCTCAGCTTGTCTACTATCCCTTCCTCAGCTTGTCTACTATCCCTTCCTCAGCTTGTCTACTATCCCTTCCTCAGCTTGTCTACTATCCCTTCCTCAGCTTGTCTACTATCCCTTCCTCAGCTTGTCCACTATCCCTTCCTCAGCTTGTCTACTATCCCTTCCTCAGCTTGTCCACTATCCCTTCCTCAGCTTGTCTACTATCCCTTCCTCAGCTTGTCTACTATCCCTTCCTCAGCTTGTCTACTATCCCTTCCTCAGCTTGTCTACTATCCCTTCCTCAGCTTGTCTACTATCCCTTCCTCAGCTTGTCTACTATCCCTTCCTCAGCTTGTCTACTATCCCTTCCTCAGCTTGTCTACTATCCCTTCCTCAGCTTGTCTACTATCCCTTCCTCAGCTTGTCTACTATCCCTTCCTCAGCTTGTCTACTATCCCTTCCTCAGCTTGTCTACTATCCCTTCCTCAGCTTGTCCACTATCCCTTCCTCAGCTTGTCTACTATCCCTTCCTCAGCTTGTCCACTATCCCTTCCTCAGCTTGTCTACTATCCCTTCCTCAGCTTGTCTACTATCCCTTCCTCAGCTTGTCTACTATCCCTTCCTCAGCTTGTCTACTATCCCTTCCTCAGCTTGTCTACTATCCCTTCCTCAGCTTGTCTACTATCCCTTCCTCAGCTTGTCTACTATCCCTTCCTCAGCTTGTCTACTATCCCTTCCTCAGCTTGTCTACTATCCCTTCCTCAGCTTGTCTACTATCCCTTCCTCAGCTTGTCTACTATCCCTTCCGCCTCCCTATCGCTGCTTCCGTTCCTCTGCGTTTGTTCACTGGCAACGGCGAGGCAGCGGGAGGGATCGAGAATGCCCGCTTTCCACGCTCCCATCACCACTCTCACCTTCCTCTCAGCTAGGGCGCAGAGAAAGGGACATGCTCCATGCATGTTCACCCTGTCCTCATTCCCTCTCGTGTGCTGCCTCTCCTGCACTGCTTCCTGTGTCCCCCCTCTGCACTGCTCCCCAGCTGTGATGCGAAGGCAGCATACTTTGAGGAGGGTGTGATGGGCATGCCGCGTGTATACTCCTTCCCCACTCCCTCTTCCCCTCTGCTGAGTCTTTCTTTGCTGCCTCCCCTGTACTGCTTCCCGTGTCCCCCCCCTGCACTGTTTCCCAGGTACGATGCGGAGGCGGCATACTTCGAGGAGGGAGTGAGGGACAGCAAGCGCCAGTTCCTGCTCAAAGGCATGAGCGCCGTGAGTGCTGCAAGGGGGCATGAGTGCCGTGAGTGCTGCAAGGAGTAAAGGAGGCAGGCGGAGGGAAAGAGAGTCTTGAATTTCCACGTGCGGTGGGCTTGGGATACTTGGAACTGCTCCCGTTGGTTTCTGTTTCTCTCGTCTCTTAAATCTTGTTCTCTCTTTTTCTTATCCTCTTTCTTTCCAATGGGTTTGTTTCCCCCAAGCTCTCATGCTGCCATCTCCCTCGACCTTTTAATGCTAGCTGTATTGCCGGCACCCTTTCTACCTCATGCTCCCCCTTACTCCTCACACCTGTGTTCCCATGCTGCACCTCTCCTGTTCTCTTTCCAACCCCAGCCGTCTCCTTCCTCCAATCAGCTCATCCGCCCAGTGCACACGGTAGTGGTGGCGGCGGCAGCAGCTCGCTGCGTCACAGGGGGGCTGCAAAGGGGACCAACCCACGTCTCTCTTCTGTCTTCCTAACCTCTTCATCCCTTCCCTGTGCGCACCCTCTGGCCCGCCACCTCCAATCAGCTCATCCGCCCAGTGCACACGGCGGTGGTGGCGGCGGCAGCAGCGCGCTGCTTCGATTCCTTCAAGAAGGACCTGGACGACGCCACAGGGGGGCGCGAGGGCAGTGCTGCCTCCTTTGCCAACTCCTCTGCTGCCTGCCTGCAGGCTGCTGCTGTCTCCTTTGACTCCGATGTTGAGGGTGAGTGTTGTGTTGTGTTGTGTCCCAATGGGAACGCGGGGCTAGCTTGCCATGCCGGTGCTGCTCCTCCTCACTGCATGCACATTCCACGCTCGCATTCGATTCTTCTGCCGAGCTCCGATCCCTGAGTTGGCTGCTGAGGAAGGCGACAACCGAGGCCTGCTGTTGTGCTCAACTTCACTTGACTCGCTGCTTCTGTCTCTGCCCCATAATTCCAGACGCTGACATGGCGCTATTCAATTGGTCGGTGGAGGACGTGACGGCGAAGCTCATGGCTGATATGGAATCCCATGTGGCATCGCTGCGATCGCAGAAGCTCAAACAGATCGTCACGGATGCAGAGGTGTGTGTTCCTGTGCCCCCAGCAACACTGCTTTGGTTTGGTTGGGTAGGTGATGTGTGTCTGACTGGACGGATCGTGTGTTTCCAGAGGATGTTGTGAAGGATAGGCTGTTGGCATGTTGAAGAGGAGGATATGGTTGCTCGAGATTCAGTTCATGTCGCTCAACAGCCCCCAACCCTCCATCGTACTGCCCTCTCCCACCTCTTTCTTCCTCCTCTTGCATCCCCCTTCTTGCCACCCGCAGGCGTCCCTAGCAGACGACATATTGGAGCCCATAGCAGCAGAACGAGAAGCCATCACAGAGAACACGTGGCGGGATATCCGAGCAGTTTCTCCTGGCGGAGGACGAGGAGCAGCCGCGCTTGACGGCTCCTCTTGCTCCGTACCTCTCGCTTCCCATCTCTTGCCTCCCACCCACCCTCCGCCCCCTCCTCTCCTCCCCAGGCGTCCCTGTCAGAGGCAATCTCGGAGCCCATAGCAGCGCTGCTAGAGGCGGTGACGGACAACACGTGGCGGGACATCCGGGCGGTGTTCTTCCATCAGCTGGACGGCGCGTGCAGCGACGTGGAGCAGGCCGTGGCGGGGTTCCAGCTGGGGGACGACGAGCACACGCGGCTGAAGGGCGCCGTTGAGATGGCGGGGAGGAAGGTGGTGGAGGAGCGCGTGAAGAGGGAGAGCCAGCACGCGCTGTCGCTCATGAAGGACAGGTGCTCCTTGATGTGGAAGCGGAGTTGGGTTTGGCTGTTTGGGACTTGAAAGTGGGGTTGATTGATTGGGAGAGGACTCTTGAGTGTGCGGATGGAGGAGCAGCGGGTGTGGTGAAAGAGTGAGCTTGTGCTGTCTCTCCGGGAGTGGAGTGGAGAGGAGTGGAGTGAGCAGGTTGAAGGAACGTCTGGTTATGAGGATTGGGGAGGAGGGTTGTGGCGGAGTGGACTCATGAGGGTGGTTACTGAATTCCGTGGTGTTGTGTGTGTGTGTGTGTGTGTGTGTGTGTGTGTGTGTGTGTGTGTGTGTGTGTGTGTGTGTGTGTGTGTGTGTGTGTGTGTGTGTGTGTGGAGAAGAGAGTCTTTGCTTCCCGTCTTCAGGACACATGTCATCCATCCACTATGCCCTTCAACTCGTCCTCCACCGCTCTGCACCGCTCGTCATTCCTCTCCGTGCTTCCCACGCAATGTATAGGTTCTTGGCAGAGTTGTTTGAGGAGCACGAGGGTGTGCCTCGCGGTTGTGTGTTTTGTTGTGGGCTCCTTGAATTCACACCGCACCACCCTTTTGCACTTCGTTCCTCCCCCTGCCCTTGGAATCTGCAGGTTCTTCGTGGTGTTTCTCTCACGTCAGGCTTGCCGTGCAAGTGCGTTTTAAAGGCACCCAAATAAAAGCTGTGCACCCCTCTCCCTGCCTTGGCAATGCACAGGTTCTTCGCGGTGTTCTCGCAGGACGACCAGGGCCTGCCGCGCAAGTGGACGGAGGGGGACGACATCAAGGCCATTGCCTTCGACGCTCGCAAGGCGGTGAGGCACACAGGGAGGGAGGCCGTGAGGGGGGGTCGGAGGGAGGAGATGGTGAGGGGGGGAAGGTGGTGAAGAGGGGGAGAGATGGTGAAGGGGGGGGAAGGTAGTGTGGGGGGGGGAAGGTGGTGAAGAGGGGGAGAGATGGTGAAGGGGGGGGAAGGTAGTGTGGGGGGGGGAAGGTGGTGAAGAGGGGGAGAGATGGTGAAGGGGGGGGAAGGTAGTGTGGGGGGGGGAAGGTGGTGAAGGGGGGGAGAGGTGGTGAAGGGGGAGGGGAGGAGGGGGGGAGGTGGTGAAAAGGGAGAGGAGGAGGGGGGGGTGGAATGCTGAGCTGCCGAAACCCTGTACCCCGAATTGCGCTTGCCGAACAGACGTCATCCACCTCCGCATCTCCCCTCCCCTTTTCCCTCCCTGCCGTCCCTTCCTTTTTCTCCCTTCCTTAATCTCCCTTCCCCTCTCTTCCTCTCACCTCTTCCACCCCCTTTCCCTCTTTGCCCCCTTCCATCCTTCTTTCCTCTCGCCTCCTCTTTCTCCCCCCTCTCCGCCCCACCAGGCGCTGAGGCTGCTGGCAGTGGTGGCGGCCATGCGCCTGGACACGGTGGACGACTCCATCGAGCCCACGCTCTTGTCTCTTCTGGGGGAGGGCGCATCTGGGGAGGGCGGCGACTCGTCTCGGACCCAGGACGGGGAGTCGGGGGAGGGGGACGGGGAAGTAGAAGGGGAAGGGGAAGGGGAAGGGGAGGGGAAGGCGGGGAGCAGGAGAGTGCAGCGGGTGTTCACGTCGGCAGGGCTGCTGGCTGCTAGCAAGTGGGAGAAGGTGAGCTGGTGGATGGGTGAGGGATGGGAAAGGGGAGTGGAATGTTTGGCTGATAGCAAGCGGGTCAAGGTAAGGCGGCTGATCCGTGAGGGATGGAAAGGGGGAGTGGACGGGAGGGCTGCTTGGCTATTAACAAATGGAACAAGGTGAGGAGGTGGATGAGTGAGGGAGTTACAGGGGCGGAGGGTTATGAGAGCCTGGTTTGGGAACGAGAGGAGAAGATTCGAGCATGGGAGTGAGGGTGAGGCTGTTGGGTTGCGTTGCCCATGTCTTGGAATCTTCACCCCATCCTCCCCTCCACCCTCATCTGTCCACCTCGCGTCTTCATTCACGCTGGTGCCCTTCACCACGGGGAACCAAACCATTCTCCTCACATCTCACACTCATTGTCACATCTCACGCTCATTGTCACATCTCACACTCATTGTCACATCTCACGCTCGTTGTCACATCTCACACTCATTGTCACATCTCACGCTCATTGTCACATCTCACGCTCATTGTCACATCCCACACTCATTGTCACATCTCGCACTCATTGTCACATCTCACACTCATTGTCACATCTCACACTCATTGTCACGTCTCACGCTCATTGTCACATCTCACACTCATTGTCACATCTCACACTCATTGTCACATCTCACGCTCATTGTCACCCCGCTGCTCTCCACTGCTGCACTACACCACCGTTCCTGCCAACCGCTGCCCAACCCCCTCCTCCCTGTCCAGATCGCCCCTGAATGCACATTCCTCACGTCTTGCCTCACACCCCGCCCTTGCTCCCTCCCCCCTCCTTCAGGTCGCCCCAGACTGCACGTTCCTGTCGCCCGGGCAGTGCCGCGCGCTGTGGGGCAAGTTCAAGGCGGAGACCCAATACGTGGTGGCGCAGGCCATGCAGACGCAGGTGGGTTGTGACACGAGGGGTAGAGGTGGTGGAGGGAGGGGTGTGCGACTCAGGTGTGCTGCGAGGCGCTGGTAGCGTTCAGCTGTGCACCGTGCACTTGCCTTGTGATCAGTTGCCAATCATTGCAGTGATTCACTTGCCTGCTTACTAACACGCGCCTTTGGAGTGTACCCTTGCACCTGAGTGAGGTTCCACACCATCATCCTGAGTGCGCGTGGCTGTCTGTGCTTCACCCATTTCACCTTTTGTTGATGTTTCTCCTTGTCTCTCCTCCTGCCTTTCCCGTGCCCCACCCCTCACAGGAGGCGAGTCGGCGCAACAACGCGTGGCTGCCCCCGCCGTGGGCCATCCTAGCCATGGTGGTGCTGGGGTGGAACGAGTTCATGGCTGTGCTCAGGTGGGGTGGAACGAGTTCATGGCTGTGCTCAGGTGGGGTGGAACGAGTTCATGGCTGTGCAAGGTAGTGTGCATTGGCAAGGCCTGAGCTGGATGCTTGATGTGCCACATTGCGAAACAAGTGTTCGACCATTGGCAGTTGCGTGTTGGTAGGAGCCGGTTCGATGGCAGCAAGCCACAGTTGAAGCATGTGAAGCAACAAGGCCAAGGAGGCCTTCATCATTGCAACAAGGCCAAGGAGGCCTTCATCATTGCAACAAGGCCAAGGAGGCCTTCATCATTGCAACAAGGCCAAGGAGGCCTTCATCATTGCAACAAGGCCAAGGAGGCCTTCATCATTGCAACAAGGCCAAGGAGGCCTTCATCATTGCAACAAGGCCAAGGAGGCCTTCATCATTGCAACAAGGCCAAGGAGGCCTTCATCATTGCAACAAGGCCAAGGAGGCCTTCATCATTGCAACAAGGCCAAGGAGGCCTTCATCATTGCAACAAGGCCAAGGAGGCCTTCATCATTGCAACAAGGCCAAGGAGGCCTTCATCATTGCAACAAGGCCAAGGAGGCCTTCATCATTGCAACAAGGCCAAGGAGGCCTTCATCATTGCAACAAGGCCAAGGAGGCCTTCATCATTGCAACAAGGCCAAGGAGGCCTTCATCATTGCAACAAGGCCAAGGAGGCCTTCATCATTGCAACAAGGCCAAGGAGGCCTTCATCATTGCAACAAGGCCAAGGAGGCCTTCATCATTGCAACAAGGCCAAGGAGGCCTTCATCATTGCAACAAGGCCAAGGAGGCCTTCATCATTGCAACAAGGCCAAGGAGGCCTTCATCATTGCAACAAGGCCAAGGAGGCCTTCATCATTGCAACAAGGCCAAGGAGGCCTTCATCATTGCAACAAGGCCAAGGAGGCCTTCATCATTGCAACAAGGCCAAGGAGGCCTTCATCATTGCAACAAGGCCAAGGAGGCCTTCATCATTGCAACAAGGCCAAGGAGGCCTTCATCATTGCAACAAGGCCAAGGAGGCCTTCATCATTGCAACAAGGCCAAGGAGGCCTTCATCATTGCAGTGGCCACGTTTGGTCGCATCGACGGTTCTGCCCCAACATCACTCCACCTGTCCCCCTCCTTCCCATTACATACCCCCTCCCGTCTTTCCTTCTCTTCTGGCCGCTTCTCCCTGCACGCTCTCTCTCCTCCTCCCGGCATCCCTGTACGCTCTCTCTCCTCCTCCCGGCATCCCTGCACGCTCTCTCTCCTCCTCCCGGCATCCCTGCACGCTCTCTCTCCTCCTCCCGGCATCCCTGCCACAGAAACCCCGTGCTGCTGCTACTGGGAGTGTTTCTCTTCTTCATGGGGAGGGAGGTCATGGCGCAGCTGGACCTGGGGGGCATGTTCGACAACGGCCTCGTGAGCCTCTGCTCTCCTCCCACCATCGCCCACCTCCTTCAGATCCTTTCCTTCCTTTCTCTCTGTTTTGCCCCTTGCTCTCGTCGCTCTCACTGCCGGTCGGGAGGTCATGTCTCAGCGGCTTCTCATGTTGCAGTGTGACCTAAGGTGCTGCCGTGCTTTGATGGGTGTTTAAAGGCTTGTCGATTGATGCGTGTGAAAAGATAACCCATCCACCCCTCTTCCATCCCCCCTCTTCCGTTACCTCCTGCTGGTTCCTGGTCTCATCACCCTTGCTACCCAGGAAGGACCCACCATCATCTTGTGCTAAGGCGTCTGGGCAAGCCGGCAGAGGCGGCATGATTAAAAGCTCCTAGAATCTCACTTCCCTCTCATCCCCCTTCCCACTCTCCTCTCCCTGCCCCTTTCCTGTATACAGGTGCCTGGGCTCATCACCCTGGCAGCGCGGGCAGGCCCCATCATCATCTCTGTGCTGCGGCGCCTGGGCGAGCAGGCAGAGGCAGCGCTGAGCGCGCACAACGCCCCTGTGCCGGGGCCACTGCGCCCCAACTGGCGCAGCGAGGGGGACGAGGATGGCGGCGATGTGGCGATGCGGGATTTCAGCGCGGGAAGCAGTGGGGAGGGGGGGCTGAGGCAACGAGGGAGCAGGCGGGAGGGAGAGGGCAGGTGA